CTCTAATGCCTTTCCTGTGATGTCCTCATCCAAGGAGCTGCTGGTGAGTTTGAAATACCAACCTTGTGGTTCAAATCAACTTTATGGTCAAGTGCTTATCCTACAGCACCATACCAGGGATCCTCTGTGTGTGTGTGTATATATGTATACATATATAGTGACCCTGTATAAGTTTTCCAAGGAGCAGCTGGTGAGCTTGAACTGCTGAGTTTGTGGATCAAAGTAACCTTGCAGTCCAATGCATTTACCCACAGCACCACACTAGGACTCTCTCTTTTTTTCTCTCTCTATATGTATGTATGTGTGTGTGTTGTTGTTATTGTTAAGTGCCATCAAGTTAGTTCCAAGTCATAGCAACCCTGTATAGGGTTTCTGAGAAGCCGCTGGTGGGTTTAAACCACCCACCTTATGATTCAAACTACTTTGCAGACCAGTACTTATTCTACAGTACCACACCAGGACTTTCTCTCTCTCTCTCTCTCCATATATATGTGTGTGTGTGTGTGTGTTGTTGTTGTTGTTGTTGTTGTTGTTGTTGTTGTTGTTGAGTGGTGTTCAGTCAGTTCTAGCCCATAGTGACCCTGTGTAGGGGTTTTCAAGGAGTGGCTGGTGAGCTTGAATCACTGACCTTGTAGTTCAAACCAACTTTGCAGTCCAGTGCATTAACGCAAATCACCATACCAGGACTCTAGATCTATGTGTGTATGTGTATATATATAGTTGTTATTAGGTGCCAATGATCCAGTTCCACCTCATAGTGACCTTATGCACAACAAAACAAAACACTGCCTGGTTCTGGCCAACCTCACAATCATTATAATATTCTGGAGTTATCTGACAGTGTTCCACTGCTATTCATAAGGTTTGCAGTGACTAAATATTCAGAAGTTGTCTGTCTCTCCTTCTTCCCAGTCTGTCTTAATCTGGAAGTTCAGCTGAAACCTTTCCACCATGGGTGACCCTGCTGATATTTAAAATACCAGTACCATAGCTACCATAACTTCCACAGTATGGCAAACTTACAGACTGAAGGATAAGTACTGAACCACAAGGATTTAACAACATATATATATATATATGTTGTTAAATA